ACGCGACATTAATTTCTTGACGACCTAATAAATCAACTTTGATTAGACCTAAAATTAAATATTTAATATTAATATATTCAAATTCAAAATTTAACATATGTTTTTAAGTTTTGTATCATTCAATTCAAATAATTGTTTTATTAGAAATTTTAGAACATTAACAGATACTTCAAAAGCAAAATCTAATTTTTTATAAAATTCTCAAATTAATCAGTTTTTCAGTTGTTTAACGCTATAACTATTTATCCAAAATAAACGTCTAATACAGATATTTTTACTTAAGGATTTAGCACTTTTGTTTTGAAAACCCTTAATCTATAAGGATAAAGAGTTTTTTCTTTCAAAATAAAGTATTCCTCTCGTTCCCTCAATAAATTGACATGACGTATTTTTCTCTAAAATAGCAATTTTAACATTAGCAAATGAATGCTCGTTAAAATGGCCTATTTCAGTGGAATGAGGAAAGCCCTCATTACTCTGAGACCTATGTAGGTTAATCCTTAAATGCAAAGGATTGCTTGTTTGTCCTACATATTTAAGACCACATATGCCACAAGTTAACTGATAAATTATATTATTCATTTTACATGGTGATATATCTTGACGTAAATGCTGAATATCTGCAGCAGCAAGACAAGTTAGGCATCTTGAACCATTGCAAATAACCTTTTCATAAATTAAAGAAGCATATTTAAATTACTGGTAAGTAGCTAGCCATACGTACGTAAGAACCTGACACATTTGGAGCCCAATGTTTTTCTTGGTCTCCAATTTTACACCGAAGATAGTAGTAGTAAGCTACCTTTACCCAGTGTGTGATGTTTTACCTTCACGAAACTGTAATACATTTTACACAAGTGTAACAGAAACTGTTTGGGTGATTTTTTGCACTTTCGGACTTTACTTGAACTGGAGGCAGTCAGCATTTCAAATGATTTTCTAAAAAAAATTAAAGGAATTCATGTTTACGTAACTAGAATTTTAAAGATCTTAAAAAACAAAGTTTACAGAATTTGATTACAATGTGGATATCATGCGAGGGAGAAGATCGAACTTTGTTTTGTCTGTGCACAGATTTTCGTTATAATATATACTTAATCAGAAATATGCATGGAAGGCAAATCAATAACACATTCTGTTAATCACAGCCGATAACGTTTCAATTTTATTCGTTCTTTCGGACTATTTTTTTAAAGGCATGCATAGTGCACCAGCCTGGGTTTTTGTCATCTTAGCGTTGCTATCTGCTCACTTTGTTTAGAGCTGAGGACTTTACCTGCTGTGGTGTGAAGGTGTAGCAATTGTGATTATTTGAATAGTGAGTTTATTATCACATTATCTCCTGTCTTATGA